GTTTATTGCTCTTGGAATGATTCGTTTACACTTTTTTTTTTTTTTTGTTCTATGCCTGTCTCTCTCACCACAGAAAAGATGCTGATGTTTACAAACTGAGGCCAGCTCTCATTCCTTCTGAAGCTGCCCTTGTTATCTTAGAAGTCTCTTTATTTATTCCCCCTGGAAGGTAAAGAACTAAACAAACAAACAAACAACAGTGTCCCAGTTTGGACAGATTTAGTGACCGGTTTTGAAACTCCAATATTTTTATAATTCTGTAGCCCCAGAAGACTATACTCCCTCTACAGACAGGGCTTAGAGGGAGCACATTCATTGAGGAAACATTTACCTCTCTCATACATCGCCTCTCTCTCATTGCTTGCATCTGACACTGTTTCCCAGCTCTGTCGATGGTCGGACATACTGCAGTCATGCACAAGTCACCTAAGACAAGACGACCAAACCAGAGATAATGAAAACATGCAGGGACAACCCCAGCAAGGGAGGATGCCTCTCGTCCAATAGCAAAATGTTCAACAGAAATTCAGACTCTTCTAATTCAGATTAGTTCCTCACAGATCACTAAGCAGTTGCTGATACCCGAAATGTTCTTGTATAAATGTGTTCCTAGTATAACTCTCTGAATGATTCTGGGTATATCTCCTGTCTGGATCTAAGTTCTGTCTTTTAGACAGACAATTTAGTAATGGCAATATCCCATCCCAAAGCAGAGATGATGGCACACCTTCAAGCCCAGTCCTTGGGAGGTAGAGTCAGGTACATGTCTATAAATTTGTGGCCAGCCTGGTCTACCTAGCAAGTTTCTTGCCCTCTGGAGCTATGTACTGTGACTCTGTTTTTAAAAAAATTTCATCCTAGTCTACAGAGTTGTCAGTGAATCTGATGTACGCAATTCTTTTGCCATCTCCTGAGACACAAACATCCATTATAACTTTTTTGTTTCCCTAGGGTTTGATTTTGCTGTGGGCATATATAAATGATGACTTGAGACCTTTAGGACATGATATTCAGTGCCTCTTTTTCTGTTATTGGTGAAAGTAGACACTAGTTTAACCTGAACAGATTTTATCCATGTATCATGTTTTATCTCAATGCTTTAAAACTCCCTTTATAAATATGTATACATTATTAAGTAGCTTTTATTTTTGTCTCATCATAACCTTTGAGTTTCAAATCTTTGCTCCATTCTTCCCCAAACACACTTCCAAAATAAAACTTTTTTTTTTAAATCTTTACTGTGTGGATAATAAACATTCATAAAGAGAATTTCTTTTCTTTTTTTTTTCTTGGCTGACTGTCAGAATTTTACTACTTAGGAAATTGCTTTTGATTTGGATGAGTCAACTATAGCTTCTAATGAAGGTTTTGAAAAACTACCTTTTAATCATCTTTCAGTTGAATTCTTTGTATAACTTTTAGAAGGGTGTGTGTGTGTGTGTGTGTGTGTGTGTGTGAATGGTGTGTAATGAGAGAAAGCTAAAAGCAGAAAAAAAGAATTCTTCCTCCAGACTATCTTTCTCTCAAATATAATATTTCTAGTTCTGGTAAATAGGATGAATATATTGTGTATTTTCTCTTTAGTCACCCAAATGAGTTGTTTCCTTATTTTTTATTGTGTGTGTGTGGTAAAATAGTTACAACATAAAAAAAAACAACAACAACAACAACAAAAAAAACAATCCTCTTAAGCCAGTTTCAAGTATGCACTTCCTTGTTATTGATGTGGGCATGATGTTCTAGTGCCGTCGCCTCCACCGAGCTGTGTAACTTTTCCAGGCTTACACACCAGAAGCTCATTGTCTCTCAAACAAGAGCCACCTATTACTGTGCCTCAGGTCTCCATCTCTCACCCTCCAGTTTCTGTCTTTGTGATTTTCATAGAGTTTTAATAGAACTGTAGTCTTTATTTTGTGACTGGCTCATTTTATTGAACACTAATGTTCTCAGAGTTTATCTCTAGGTAGCATATGTAAGAATTCCCTCCCATTGGCACTAAATAATATATCATTGTGTGTATGTATTCACTTGCATGGTGCTGGGTATGTGGGTTCTTTCTACATTTTAACTGCTAGGCATAATGGGTCCTTTGATCTTGAGCATACACTTAATCTTATTACGACCCTGCAATTTGCTCTTTTGAGAAGAAGAATGAATGAGTCATACGAATCAAAATATGTTTTAACTTTTGGATGAACTTCCAATTGTGTTTGTATCGTTTGACTATGTCCCTGATTAAAGGCCAGGACTCAGGCTGGTACTGTTGGCATCACAGTACTTTGGAGAAAGTGGGGATTAGTAAAAACAGGAGATGCTTTCATGTGAGCTCCTTTATAGTTCTTGAGAGAAGGTTATAAAAGGTTCAAACTTAGCTGTCCCCTACCTCCTTGTCTTTTCTGACTGTTCCTGTTCAGCACCCGACTTCTTCCTTCTGTATGATATCCAGCTAAGATGTGACTATCTGTTGCCCTTACCAATGCTCCCTGGCCCTGGCTCCCTTGGCCCCCTGCAACTCCAGTTTTGGGCTTTAAACTCGCAAACTTTGGGCTTGGCCAACCTCCTTTATAAATAAGTAGACTGGGCCAAACACCCTTGTTTCAATTCTGCTGTAATAGAACACTCTGACCAAAGGCAACCTAGTGGTGAAAAGAGTTTATTTGGCTGACACTTCCAGGTCACTGTGTATCACTGAGGGACATCAAGGCAGAAGCTCAAGCAACAACTTGAAGTAGAAGCTGTGGAGGAAGGCTGCTGGCTGGTTCATTTGCAGGTTTATGCTTAGCTAGCCTTCTTCAGTAGACTTGGGACCACCTGCCCAGGGAAAGACTCTGCCACAGTACACTGGGCCTTTCTTTATCAGTGAACAATCAAGATGACCATGCCACCTCTTCCTAAGCATGCCTATGGGCCAATCTAATTCCGGCAATCCACCATTTGAGAATTCCTTCTTGGGAGACTCTAGGCTGTGTCAAGTTGACACAGATATTTTACTTTCTAATGAAAAACTGGCCAAGACATAATTTTCTATAGTGTTTTAAATCTTCCAATGTGGCACAAGGACTCTGCTTGTGCTTACAATTACACCTGTAATTGTCAATTGTTTTGGTAGCAGTCATGGTAATGTGTTTGAAGTATTAATAGTATCTCATTGCGGTTCTGATAACATTACTCAATAATTGGTGTCCGAGTTAGGTTTCAATTGCTGTAATAAAAGACCATGACCAATGGCTTCCTGAGGACAAAAAGATTTCTTTGGCTTGTATATCTTAGGTCACAGTTCATTGAGGGAAGCCAAAGTGAGAAGCCAGGACAGAAACCTGGAGGCAAGAACTAAAGCAGAGGCCGTGGAGGAATGCTGCTTACTAGCTTACTCCTCCTGTCCTGCTCATTTTGCTTTCTTATGCTGTCCTGGACCATTTGCAAGGAATGGAATTGCTCACAGTGGTCTGGGACCTTTTGTATGAACTATCAATCAAGTAAAGTGCTCTGCAAGCTTACCTACAGGTCAACTAAATGGGAGCATTTTTTCAAATGAGATTCCCTCTTCTTAGATGACTGGCTTCTGACAAGTTAATGAAAACCAACATAGTAAGCAATGCTGAACATCTGTTTACATGCTAGTGGTCATGCGCCCATCTTCTGTGGACAAGAGTCTATGAAAGGACTATGCCTTAGTCTCCTGAATGCTGGGATTGAAGATGTGAATTGCCAGGCCTAGCCAAACTACCTTTTTAAAGGGACTCTCTTATTTCAGAGAGAACCTGTTCACAAAAGGTTGCACTAGAACCCCTCTTTTGTGCTCTAAAGTTTTTGTATGCATTCCCTCTGGTCTGATAGTAATAACCATTGACTTGGAGCCATTGTGACTAAATTTCAGGGATCAGTTTGCTCCTTTTCCTGTTCTAGGATCCCTTCCTTTGCATTCATAGTGTTTAGATCTCTGTGTCTAAATTTAAACTGAATTCTACACAATTTTACATTATTTTTTTTATTGACCTCTTAGGTTTCATGCAGTTCTTTAATGCCTACATTGCAGTGGCAACAGTTCTACCCACTCTGATGACAAAACATGATAACATATACCTCTTGGCAAATTATGAACACGGGCACATGTGTGATGCTCAAATGGCAACTAGTGGAAGTCATTTCTCTCTTTCTACCATGTGGGTTAAGGGGTCAAACTAGGGTCTATCAGCTGAATCCTTTTGCCCCCCACAAGCATTTTTTTTTCTTTCTTTTTAAAGACAATATCTGAATTCTTTGGAATTATTTTTCTTCTTTTTAATAGTGCCAATCTAAGCATTTGATAACCTTGCATTCTAGTCTTATCTAATCTCTCAGCTACGGTCACATAACCAAATGCCCATCATTTCAAAAACTGTTTAGATTGAAATGTCGCGAGGCATTGTTATATTTTTAAAACTTTTCAGTGGAAGGGGAAACCATGCTTCAGGCTGTAATTTGGATAGAACACTTTTTTTGTGTGTCTTTGGTATTTTCTGGAAGCAAGCAGCATAAAGGAAATCAAAAAGGGAAGGATTTGTGGAAAGGATCCAGCCGAGAGATAAGCTTAATAAAGGCTTCGTTTTGCAGATGCACAGCCTCCTGATTTCCTGTTGTCCTTGAATGCTTGCATTTCCGATGGATTGAAAGTAAACTTCTAGTGACCTATGATTTCAAAGGAATGCCAAATTAAATGAAATATTATCCTCAGTCACTTTTAATTTAAAAGGGGGTATGGAAGAAGAAAGGAGTGCTTAAGGTATTCGATTAAAAAAATAAGAATCCAACTCTATTTAAAGAGTTTCCATTCATTTGCCCTGGAGGAAACTTGTAAGGAAAGAAAGGAAGAAATTCTGCTTCTAGGGGTCAAGGAGTATGTGCACCTGCTCAGTGGGCCCTGCTGCTTTGGTGTTCGTCAACTCTCTCCACCTGCCTATCAGAGTGAGCTCAGCGTGTGGTGCTGACTGTTCCCTTTGCTTCTTGTCTCCTATCTGCAGGTCACCTATCTGGGCAAAGTCTCTACCACAGGCATGCAGTTTTTGTCTGGCTGCACTGAGAAGCCAGTCATTGAGCTCTGGAAGAAACACGCACTGGCCCGAGAAGACGTTTTCCCAGCCAACGCCCTCCTAGAGATCCGTCCATTCCAAGTGTGGCTTCATCACCTTGACCACAAGGGAGAGGCGACAGTGCACATGGATACCTTCCAGGTGGCTCGCATTGCCTACTGCACAGCTGACCATAATGTGAGCCCCAACATCTTCGCCTGGGTGTACAGAGAGATCAACGATGACCTGTCTTACCAGATGGACTGCCATGCAGTGCAATGCGAGAGCAAGCTGGAGGCCAAGAAGCTGGCACACGCCATGATGGAGGCCTTCAAGAAGACTTTCCACAGTATGAAGAGTGATGGGCGGATCCATAGGAGCAGCTCATCCGAAGAGGCTTCCCAGGAACTGGAATCTGACGATGGCTGAAGGAACTGAAGATGTTCCAGCGAAGGCAGCATTTGGGCAACGAGTTTCAGAAGATAGATGCATCCGCAATGATTCGAATTTGGTATGAGAAGACTGCCAACTTACTGGCTGACCATGCTTTTTAAATTCAGAAGAGCAATTCTAAAGCTAAAGAAATGTATCATTAATTATGTGACATTGAAATCTGCTGCTGCCATGACCACGAGGAGAGTAGGAGAGTGGATGGGGAGGAACGTTCCAGACTCTCTTCTTGTTTTTCTTCTCTCTCCTATTCCAACACTTCCTGGTGGGAGATCTCTACGCCTGTTTTCACCATTCTCAGGCAAACGCTCTGTGGCTTTAGTTTGATGGACTGTTCCAATCTGCCTTACAAAATCCAACAGGAATGTTAGAGGCACCTCTGTGACCCCCAGGCCCATGGGTGGCGTGGGGAGATGATGCTGGTGTGGAGGCTGCAGGATAGAAGGGACATGTCCGGGTGATGACCTGGTTGCTCCTCTCCCTTGGCATGTTCGCAGACACTCTCCTCAGTATGTGAATCAGCACAGCTTGAATTGAGCTTTACAACTAACAGCACGCTAGATGGCAGTCAATTCGTAGTTAAAGATGATGCTTTCATTTACATGAGTGTATCAAGTAGTGCCCTCCTATTGTATTCACTTCATCTATTTTCTTAGAATCCTTGCAACTAATGATTGTTCTCCTCCTCCTGCCCTACCATGTTTTCTCCTTCCAGCCTCCCCAAAGGGGATGGAGGCTCAACACATTGCAGGACTTCAAAAGGGAAGAAAACAGCAAGTTAATTCAATAAACAGTAGGCAAACCATCCAGGAATCTCAGATGTCAGACACCCTAGAAAAGAAGGAATGGGTGTCCAAAGTCTATAGTAGCCACCCTTCATTAAGCCTTGATTTATAGTAACTTACTTGGTGAAAGGTCCTGTTAGATGACTCCTTCATGGGAAGTTTCAACTCTGACATGACATTGCCTGGGAAGTCTTGCCCCATCATTTATCATTGAATTCAAGTAGGGAAAGAATGAATTCAAGAGAGTTTGCTTAGAAATCTCATGTTTATCTGGAAACCTAAAGGGAAATGTGATCTTACTGTCCTGAAGTCAGTGATATCTTAGAGTCAGAATGACGCCCTTGACTCTCAGTTCTGAAGAGAAATTCTCACTGGTAACTTGAGATCTCTCAAGTTCAAGATCTCATAAAGAGTCGTGGAAAGTATTTGTTAAGATCAGAGACAGGTGGAACTTTGTGAGTTCAAGGCCAGCCTGGTCTACAAAGTGAGTCCAGGACAGCCTAGGCTACACAGAGAAACACTGTCTCAGAAAAAGGAAGAGAGAGATTTTCAAAAAAAGAAAAAAAATACACATTTAAGGTGAACAGACACATTAAGAGGGCAAATGATCAACTTTCTTCAAGTAATATTGCTCCTTTAAAAGGCGTATTTTCATTTCTAGTGATATTAGGGGCAATGGGGTACCTTAGAAGCCTTAAGTGAGAGCTAATATAATCCAGACAGCAAGGGTGTTGGTATTTTTGGTCTGTGTACCCATGTGTCCATGTATGCGTTTGTGTGTATGTGTGTGTATGTCCTCTGTGTGGGTCCAGTTTCAAGGCATGTACGATAAGCATGGAGTCGTATTGGTGAGGACTCACCTCCTGAAGATATGCTTGTTGCTTTATGATATACGTAAACTATTCTTTAGATAAATGCATTCACTCTTTAATAAAAGTATGTTTGTGTTAATAAAGCCAGGGTGTTTCATACTTTATATGAACTTTCCTATTTTTAAGAAATGGAAATTGGACATGTAAAATAAATCAAACTTGGTAAACAGGGCAATTTTATCTTTTTATTGATATTTATCGGTTTTTAAATTGACCACACATAAGGCATTCAAAAATGGATGCCCCTTACTTGAGACAATAATGTTACTGATGACGTTGACCTTCTTGATTAATGTACTGGGCTTATTTCAGAGAAGAATGTTTCTAAACATTTTGCAAATAATCGCCATTTAACCCTACCCCACATATCTTTGAAGAACCATCTTGAATTCCTGAAAGGTAAGCATAGAATGATTCCTTTGGAAAATGGATTAAAAAATGTCTCCCTTGGGTCATGCTCTCTCAGAATGGCCACATTAATAAAGCAGAGAACCCACCTGTGGAGAAATGTTCTTCATGGACTCCGTAATGAACAGAAAGGCTTTGAAGGAGAAAATCTGGGTGCCTGCTGAACAGATGCACTCACTTGTGGATAACTACCAAATTCTGATTGAAATGACACTCCTGTAGAGGCGAAGCTGTCCCAATTTCAGTTTCACATTCTTGTCCTTGAATTAAAACACAACAAAACGGAGGAGGGAGAGGAGACAGGAGAGAAGGGGAGAAAGGAAATACGAAGTAAAGAGGAAAGTAAGATAGAGAAGAAAAGGAAAAAAAGGAAAGGACCCAGGCGCACATCTCAAAATAATGTTATCTCCCTCTCTCAGTAATCTATCAGAATCCCTGGGCATAAAAGGTTGTTACAAAACACTTTTGCTAGAATTGTTGTTTTATTTTTTTAATTTTTGAATACAAAGTGTGATATGCTACGTAACTCGCTTGGACACTATTGATATGAGGATATGAGATTCTTCTAGGGAGGATGGGTGAGTAATTGAAAGATAAACATACAATGATGTCTTTGAGTTAACTAATAAAGTCTTCAAGACAGCCATTTGTCACTCATCTAAAAGGGATGTTCTGCCTTTCATTCTGTTTTAAGTGTTTTCTGTTCCCTTCGGTACTAGAGTGTCAGTGTTAGGGGCTACACACTTTGCTTTTATGCTCATTACATCCCATGCAGGTCAAACAAACTCAGTGATGATACAGACATTAGAGTTGAGGAACCAGAGGCTTAGATCTGCATTCTTGGACGTAGAGGACCAGCCAGAACTTGTACTGAGATCCTTCTGAGGGTGTTGCGGAGTTGCTGTGTTGCAGCAAGATCCATCTTCTTTGGATTTCCATTTCCTCTCGAAACCTAGCATATTCTCTTTTTATCTTTCTTTTTCTTAATTGATGTTTTGATTTTTATTTTTTCATTTTACAACCGAATTGCAGCACTCTTCCTCCTCTCCTCCCAGTCCCACTCTTCCACCCTGGCTTATTTTAAATTAGAATACTAAAACATTACATAAGTTAACTGTGCATCCCCCCCCCAAACTTGTTTTGGAAGTGTTTTAAATAGGAACAGAATTTTAAAAGCTAAGATTTAATAGATTTTGTTGGAGTACAAATAACAAAGTTTTGATCAAGTTATTATTATTTTTTGGCTCTAGGCAATTGACAAAATTCTCTGGTTATCCCACCTCTTTGATTTTGATGCCTCTAATTTTGTTTTCACTAGGACATGGTAAAACTCTAAATCAAGGACCTAGGAAATGGCTCAGAATTTAAGAGTGTTTGTTGGTCCTCTAGAGGACTCCAACTTAGTTCCCTGCACTCACATCAGATGGGTCACAAGCACCCATAACATAACTTCAGTTCCAGGGAGTCGGATGCCCTGTTAAAGGCCTCTATGGGCACTGAATACAAATAAAATAAAAATTAAAACCCTAAACAATAATATGAAACAGCAAAATTCCAAACCCAAGTCAAGTCTTTCTGCTCCAGGAATCTGTAGTTTTATGTTTTATGTAGTTTTATGTTATTCACTGTGGTTTCCAACCACACATTTATTTATATAATTATGCAAATGTCTATTTAAATATCTTGGATATGAAGTTGTCTTTAAGATGGTAGAAACTGTCTTTTTGTTGTTGTTGTTCATGGTTTATCTCCAGCTTCTATGGCAAGCACCAGGAGAAATGAATTAAGTTTCTGTTAGAGGGCTGCTGAACTGACAGAAGGGTATATACATGGAGGGAAGACTCAGCATGTCTTGCATTCACAAGTTCAAGGACAAAAATCCTGGAATTATGGAAGGCTCCCTAGAGACAGCTTTTCCCAGTTTCCTCAAAGATGTGCAAATAACTTTTTGCTGAAGGAAAACATTGGTCCTTGTCTAATTATAAAAATAAACTAAGGGTGTATGTATCGATGGGGGAAAACAGCAATGTTAGAAGAACCATACAACTGAAATATAATAGTCATGACCCAAGGAAACAAACAGATAAGGTACTGTATGGTACCTATGCTTAGATTTCACCATGTAGTGGTTATTTATTTCTGTCTTTTTTAGCAATGAGGTATCGAAGGAGGACACCTTCCCACTCTCACAGTGTAACATGTGGGCATTCAGCTGAGTTCCTCATAAGACTCATACTGCAGAAAATCATTTCTTTCCTTTCCTTCTGTGTTGTGGAAAAGATAGACTCTAGAGGGGTTCTCTACTGAAGCTAGTTCCCAAATAATCCAGAGATATTTAAGACCTATAAAAACTTCAAGGCACAATAATAGGAATCCTCTAAGCTATTTTGCTAGTTTCCAGCTACACACCCCCAAGTTACTTGCCAAAATTGTTTCTGTCTGTGCTGCTTCTGTTCCATCAGGCCAGCCATCATGGCTGCCTGCTCATGGTCCATATTGCCCCATGGCAACTTCTTTTTCTTCAGCTTTCTCTCCCCTCCTTCTACATCTTCTGCTTTCTCCCTCTCCTCCTAGTCTTGTGGTTCCTCTGTGACCCTAAGCCCCAGAACATCAGCTCTACCTACCTCCCTTCTGCCCAGCTATAGGTTGTCAGCAACTTTATTTAACTAGTCAGAGAATATTGGCAAGCCATGTTTATACAACATTTTCTGGTGTAAGTAAGGATGTGTTTTTCCAGGGTTCTTTCCTGAGATGATACTCCAACTGAGGAATATGCATGGAGATAACCTAAGACCCCTGCACAGATGTAGCCCATGGCAGTTCAGTATCCAAGTGGGTTCCATTGTAATAGGAACAGGGAATGTCTCTGACATGAAGTGATTGGCCTGCTCTTTAATTACACCCCACCCCTGAGGGGAAAGCAGCATTACCAGGCCACAGAAGAAGACAACTCAGCCACTCCTGATGAGACCTAATTGACTAGGATCAGAAGGAAGGAAAAGAAGTCCTCCCCTATCAGTGGACTTGGGGAGGGGCATGCATGCAGAGGGTGGAGGAAGGGAGGGATTGGGACAGGAGGAGGGAGAGAACCACAGGGAGGATACAAAGTGAATAAAGTGTAATTAATAAAGAAAAAAAAAGAATATGCTTTTCCAGGGTATAATAAGGTCTTAGGGGCCAGTAATTTAGATTTGAATGAATAGCACCAGACCAAACCCCAACTCTTCTGACATTTATCTATCTATCTATCTATCTATCTATCTATCTATCTATCTATCTATCTATCTATCTATTTTTCCTTTTATTTCCTTTTCTGTCAGCCTTACTCCCTATTTTCAATCTTCCTCCTTTCTGCCATAACTGTATTTTATATTCCAGGTTTCTTCAGGTTTTAGGAGGGAAGAGAATATGAACTAAGAGAATACGAGACCACACATGCTGTCGATCATGGTCTACTAATGCAAAGTTTAAGATGATTGTAGGATACCTGTTAGAGTATGGTCTGGTGCTTTGTACTTGTTAATTGCTTGCCCTCTGAGATTCTTATTGTTTATGAGCAAACTGTCATGTGCCCCAAGCATTGCTTAAGAAATTATTCCTGATTGGCTGATTAAAAGACGTGGACCTGGGCAAGGCAAAATGGGGTAGGCATGGCCAAAGTTTTAGGGCTTTAAGAGAGTAGAATCATGGGAAGCAGACAGACAGGAAGATAGGAAGAAGGAGGAAGCCAGCATGGCTTATGTATAGAGAGAACCATATGTGCTGGGAGGAAGGACTCCTGAGAATGTCGTGGAAAGAAACACCAAGATGAAAAATGTAAACGAGTATTTATGGAATTACGGATGGGAGGTAGAGCAGACAGGAATGGTTAAGGTGGATGGCAGGCTGGAAGATGGATGGAGAGGATATTGAGCTAGCATAGATAGAATTATCTGCCCAGTCCAAGGTGTTTTAAGGCAATTATAAAATCTAACAATTGTCTAGTCTTTTACTGTAATAGGTTAGATAATATTGCCACAATAATTGTAGGGCAAATAAACGTATTAATTATTATCAGCTACAGACATCACATTCATGTGGTACTTTCTGTTGCTGTGTGTGCCACTTGGCTTTTTGTCACCCTGATGTAAGTTAGCTACAAGTCAACAACCTCAGCTGAGCAGATGCCTCCACCTGTAGGCAAATCTGTGGGAACAATTTCTTGATTAATGATTGATGAGGATGGGCCCAGCCCACTATGGGCAGTGCCACAGTGGGTGGTCCTGGGCTGATGAAGAAAACAGGCTGAGCCAGCCATGGAGGCTAAGCCACTGTGATAGGACATTCTGGCCAAAGCAACTTAGGCAACAAAACGGGCTGATTTTGTCTGTGGTTCCAGATGGACAGAGCCCATGGTGGCAGGGCAGAGAAAGCATGGCAGCAGAAGCATGGGGGCAGGAGATGGCAGCATTCAAAAGCAGAATGAAAGAGCAGAGGTGATACAACAAACCCTAAAAGTTATTCTAAGCGATGTGCTTTCTCTAGAAAGACTCCACCTCTGGAAGTTTCCATAACTTCCCTATGGACCCTATGGAGTTAGGTTCCATAAGCCTATGCTGGACACTTCTTATTCAATTATTCTTAATTTTTCTTATTTAGCTTTTACTCAGATGGGCGGTGTTTTCATCATTCACAACTTAGTATTTCTTCAGGATCTCCAAAGTGTGGTCTTTCTGGTCTCCCCAATACACCCTGGACTGATTTTAAGTGAAGATGAAGACTCTGTAA